TTGGGTGTGGTTTAATTCTCTCAGTATGCCATGATGATTGAAGGCTAATTCTAGGATGGTAGAGGTACCAGCAACATGCAATGCTACCAGGATCAAATTGCACATAGTGTGTGAAGTCAGCCTGATAGAGTAACCGTGTATGGTGTGATCAGCAGAGCAACAGGGAGAGGTACTGCTCCAAACCTTGGGCGCCTATCTCACACCACACTGTGCCCAAGATGCTCACATGAACAGACATAAAGCTTTAGGATTTAACATTTGTCCTGGGTTCTAGTGTGTTTTGGGGGTGGGAATCCCCAATGGGAACATTGATATGTCTTATACAAAGTGTACAAAAATGGGTACATGAGCAAATACAGCTTTGCATTTTTAAAATTAAACATTTTTAAAAAAACATTACTATTTTGGAATTGACATGTGCACGATAAAATTGTAGTTAGGTAGGAAAGTGAGAGGTTGCTTCTAAAGAGGGTATGGATGTTTTTGCACACAAGACAACCCTGAAGGGTTTCCAGATACTATTATTTTTAATTGTACAAACTATGTATAAAATTTAGTATCTCAGTTTTAAAGTTGAAGTTTACATGTATGTATTTGTGTCTGTATGTATATGCTCATTCATGGGTTAGAGGGAGGGAGGGCTGGAGGCCAGAAGAGGTTGTTGAACCCCTGGAGCTGTTGTGAGCTTCCTGATGTGGGTGATGGGAACTCATCTCCAGTCCTCTGGAAGAGCAGCAAGTGCTTTGAATAGCTGAGCATCTTTCAAGGCTCCCATCCTATCTATAGTTCTGTGAATGCTACATACATTACACACACTCACAGTTTTATATGACCCTCACCCCATCCATCACCAATTCTCATCCATCCCAAAGTCTAAACCAAACAATAACTCCCCATCCTCTGGAAAACTCCATTCTGTTCTGTCTGTAAAGGTCACCACTTTTGGTACCTTGTATTATGGAATACTTTTGTGTTTTCAATCAACTGTGTTATTTTCTTAGTGTAATATCTTCACGGTTTATCCATGTTGTAGAAGGTATCAGAATGTCCTTTTGAGAGGAGTAATTTAATATCCCAAGTGTTTTGCTGACTTTCCATTGACAGACACAAGTAGCTTCTCTTTGTGTATTGTGACTAGGCTATCATTGTAAATAGATACATAGAATGATGGTTGGATTCTCACTTTAAAGAAGCTCCCATTTCCTGGCAAGAGTTTTAAAATACAGCATGAATTGATGTGGAATGAAATCACACAATTACAAGAAAAGAAAGAAGTCCTGAAGATCTGGAATTTGGTTCTCAAGGGAAATCTGAGCCCTGGGTTTCAAATTTCTTCTGATAGTGTCCCCTCTCTCTTGTCTTACTGTTGGAGCAAGCATTTGCCTTTCCATCTTCCTGAAAGTATACTTCGTCAGCAAGATATAAAACAAGTGGGTAAATGAGTGGGTAGAATGCATCAGGATAGTCACAAGATGAGCACTGTGGCTTGAGTATGTGCATGCCTGGCACATCTGAAAGGAAAGCATGCTTATTTTAGGAATTTAGTAATAGTGGAAGGGCTGGGAAGATAGCTCAGGTGACTTTACAATCCTGATGACCTCTATTCGACCTCAGGAACCCATATAAGTACAAGTGCACTGTGACATGTGTGTACTCCCCATACCTCATACGTAACACACACACACACACACACACACACACACACACACACACACACACACAAAATAGTATCTTGAATCGAAAAACAAGGAACAAAGTAAGTTTGCTCCTTAGCTATGAGTAAGTAAACCATGTAACTGCAAAAATAAACCTGAAAGATTAAAATGGTCACCTAACTGGAATAGAAATTTTATTCCCAAATGATACATTAGATGGCCATGTTTTCCCATGCTGTTATCTAGCACTATCCTCTTTTATTTCCTGCATATATCCCTTCTTTTTTTGTGAAATTTGTCTTCATATAATTTTTTTTCTTTTAAAAAGATTATTTGGGGGAAGGAAGAGAGAGAGAGAGAGAGAGAGAGAGAGAGAGAGAGAGAGAGAGAGAGAGAGAGAGAATGTATGAAGAGGGCATTATATTATCCCCTGGAGTTACAGGCCGTTATGATCCACTTGACCTGGGTACTGGGAACTGAACTCTAGTCCTCTGAAAGAGCAAGAAGTGTTTTAACTGCTAAGTCGTATCTCTAGCACCATGTAATTATTTTAGAAAGTTTTTTTGGGTGTGTGTGTATTGTGTTCATGTGCCTGTGTTTATGTATGTGTGCAGGGCAGGGGTTAATTTCAGGTGTCTCCTTTAACAGATCTCCAGCTAATTTTTTGGTAAGATCTCCCAGTGAATGTGGAGCTCACAGACTGACTAGATTATCTGGCCAACAAGCTCCAGAGATCCAATTTCCATTCACTTCCCACAGTATCATGGTTACAGGTGCCTGCCATCATGGCTGGCTTTTTATGTGGGTGCTAGGGAATCTAAGCTTAGGTAGTCATGCTTATGGAGCAGGTACTTACCCACCGAACCATCTTGCCTGCCCCAAGTATATGTTTTAAAATAATGCAAAACTTGAAGACATATATTATTAATATAATTTGCTTAATGAAGTCAAATTATTTCAGGAAGAAATTATTGTAGCAGTTCTTTCTCCTCCAATCCTATTTTCTAGCCTATTTTATCTTTTGTAGTATATTCCTTTGTGTTTGAACTAAACCGACTTTTCACTTATACAGAGGGCTATAAAAGGGCATGGTGGCAAGGATCCTGCTTAGTAAGTGTCCAGTGCTTAGGTTGTATTCAAAATTTATTCTTTTGTAGCTGAGTGTGGTGGCTCACACTTGTAATTGCAGCTCTTTGGAGGCTTATTTCTAGGCCAGCCTGATTTGGGGGAACTGTCTCAAAAAGAACAAACAATTCTTTTTTCTTTTGTTAAGTGAAAGAGGAGCCTAGCAAGTTAAATGATGTGTCAGCACCAGAGAAGCCAAGACAATGTAAAATTTTTACTATAATTTAAGTTAGAATGTAGATGAGAATATTTGAGTTTTATAAGATCTCAAATAGAAAAATTAGTAGCCTGTGTTGAGACAGAGCTGAGTGCAAATCCATGATTTGGGAGGCTATGGGTGATGGAGGTGATGTAGACTATGGGTGATGATGTAGGGGCCATAATGTTGACTAATCCATCAAAAGGGCTTGATCATTGTAGAATATGGGAAAATGTTAACTTTTACATCTTAAAACCATTTTAAAGACAACTTATATGTATGATCATTTTGTCTGCATGTATGTCTGTGCATCTATTGTATGCCTGGTGCCCTTGGAGGCCAGAAGAGGATGAGATCCTGAGACAAGAGTTACAGATGGCTGAGTCACCATGCTAGGTATGAATGTGAGTCTTCTGGAGAGCGGTCAGTGCTCTTAACCATTGAGCCAATTCTCCAGCCCAAATTTTACTTGGTAAATATAGCCACTATTTTTGAATATTCATACATGTTTACAATGTACTTTGGATCATATTCACCCCTACTCTCTCCTCCAACTTGTCCTGGCTCTCCTCCCATTCCCATCCCAATTCCAACTTCAAGTTTTTATTTTTGTAACCTACTGAGTCTAGTTAGTTATGCCTATATGTACATCATGTAGCCATCCATTGGAGCATGGGCATCTTACCAGGGACCACAACCTTGAACTGACATTCCCTCCCCTAGTAGCCATCAACCTTCCAACATCTCCTCCTGCTGGATGGGAGACTGTGTGCATGCTCCTCTCCCACTCCTACTGGAAATCTGACTGGCTTGATCTTGTTCAGGTCTTGTGCCTATAATAGCTCCTATGAGTTCATGAGTACAACAGTCCTATCATGTCCAAAAGGCAGTTTCACCCCAGCCCCTCAAACCTTTGGCTCTTACAGTTTTTTTAAAATGTATTTTCATGTTTATTCATGTGTGTGAGTGTGTGTATTCCACATGTGTTCAGGTACCTGCAGAGGCAAGAGAGCAGAGGATCCTCTAGAACTGTAGTTAAAGACAGGCAGTTGTGAGCTGCCCAGCATGGGTACTGGGAACCAAACTTGGGTTCTCCGGAGGCACAGCAAGTGCTCTGAATCACTGAGCCACCTCCCCAGCCCCTTACAGTCTTGCTGCCCCTCTTCCATGATACCCCCTGAGTCCTGGGGAGGGGCAGGCTATAGATGCCATGAAAATATAAAATCTCATTTTGAAATACCTATTATTCTCTCTGGGAGCCTGTATGCTAGCAGACAAAACAAAAATCTTCACTATGATCAACTACTGCTCACATTTTCTAAGAAAAGCAATGAATTCTTCCTTTCTCCCCTCCCAGAAGCACATGTTGGCTTTAGGATGGAACTTCAACTTTAGGATAAGGTACCCAGGCCTCAGATTGCTCAGTCTACACATCTCTTCCTTGCTCCTCCTCTGCCTAGTGCACTGAACAACCAAGAGGATATACAGAGAACAAGGAGAAAATGATAAGTGAGTGCATGCACAGTGAATCTAAAGCAGCACCATTAGACCTAACAGTGTGATTTAATTTTTAAAGGTTTACTTAAATGTCTGGTTGTAAGTACATGGGCATGCTAGTGTCCTAGCTCCTGTGGATCTGGAATTTCAGGCAGTTTGTTAGCTGCCCAACATGGTGTTGGGAACCAAACTGGAGTCCTCTGGAATAACATCTGTATTCTTAACCTTTGCACTATCTAGCCAGCCTTGAGTACGGCATCAAGTCAGATAAGGTGACACTTCAGGGGCACTGTGAGAGACTTCTAGGTGTGTGAGCGCTAGGTGCAGGAAGGTGCACAAAGGGCCTTCTAGGATTAAATACTGAGGAATTCTGCATTGGTAGTCCCTGGAACTTCTCCCACCTGTACACTACACTGCGGAGTGGCTTAAGGTTCTTAAGATGATGCTTTTGAGTAAACTACAATTTCACTGCTCCCGATAGTGTGTAAGGTGTAAACTGTTTGCTGAATAAGGTTCCACAGCTATGCCAATAACTTAATAGTTTATTAGTCAGTCAACAATATTACAAATATTTAAAAATTACTTAATATAAATAGTTGGCAGCAAACTATTCCATTACAGAGTTAAATTACCAGTACAACAGACAGACTGGAGATTTAGACACCTGGAAGATAACAATAAAATAAACTAAATTATTTAACAAAAATTTTAAGCTGAAGGCGTTTTACCTAGTGTCCATAAAAGCATGGGTTCTCTTTTTATTTAGAAAAAAATAAAAAACGGCTTTAACACCCCATTAGGAATATAAAATAAAATCAACTGAAAATATTAATTTGCATATCAAAGAACCATTTATAGTTACAATCCAAACACTCCATAAACCACTTGTGCGATTCTATACAGAAACTGGGAATTAGAAACTAGTTGCTTTAATATTACAAAGATTTCAGCTCCAAAAATAATTCAACATAAAATAAACTTTAGCAATTAGTGTCATAAAATTATATATTTTCACATAAAAATACAAAATAATATTAATGACAAGAATATGAAAAATTATTCCAAGTATTTTACTACTATTAAAATAAAATAAAACCCAAAAAAACAAAATAGAAATATGCATGAAAAAAGTCTCTCCTTTTGTTAGCAAAACACTATCCAAAATAACTACAATCATTTACATCAGTACAAAGATTTCTGGGTTTAAAAAATAGTTGCAATGACAAAAGGGGCATCTTTTCTGACAGTAAAAAATGACACTGTGGATAAAGTCTGCAAAATATGCAATGAAAAAAATAAATTTGCATTAAAAAGGTTTACACTGTATCTTTATACAAACATTAGAAACAGTATTGCACATCACAACACAGAATCGAGGTTAGTCAGCCTTCCAAAGTGTGTTAGATTCAAGTTTTGCGGCATCTGTGAGGAGAGGCTCGTGCAGCCAGATGCAACAGGGATAAAATATCAAGTGTTTTCCATACACAAATATATAAATGCTAAATGTCTCCTTCTTAACAAAAAGTGTGGATTTGTAAAGTACTTTTTTTCCTCCACAGTCATTCATACTTTTGGGCAGCAATATGAACATTTAGGGAACACAAATGAAGAAGCTTTGAAAATACAAAAATACAATCAAAATTAATAATTTTCTACAAAAATAGTAAAATAAATATGATCTGTAAATTAAAAAAAACTCTAATACAGTGTTTAACAGTTAGAAAATAAGAATGTAGTACATAAAAGGAAAAATAATCCCCAAACAGAAAAGGAAAGAAATTAGAGGTAGGGGTTAGGCAGGGAGGAACAAAATATTAGACCAATAAGCTCTGTCCTAACAGAAACGAAGGTGACACAAACCAGCATTTCTGTCACATTCACCCTGGTGGGAAAGGGTATCCATTTCATTTCCCTTCATTTCAAATTTTCATTTCTGTTTAAGAAGGGAAAATGATTTTCGGCATCTCCAATTATTTCATCATACAATTTATTTTAGAGTTCATTATTTAATACATGAAAAGGCTCTTCAATTTTAAACATTAAGCAGAAATTATGAAAATAAAGTTTAAAAATCTGCGAAATTAAATATCTAAATAATTAACATTGCAAAACTACTGATTTCTTTTCTAAATTCCAAAAATTGAGGTATAGCAAAGGAGATGTCATCAGTCAAAAAAAGTGTGCCATAAAATAGCTGACTGTTGGAAAAATCTCTCACAGAGATATAAAAATAGTGCATAACAAATGTCAAAATGGATCAAGGTCTGGCAGGGCGAGGGTAGAAAAGAATGCTCCAGAAACTCTGGAGGGTCATGGGGAGTAACAAGTAGAGACATTGACAAATAAATTAGTAAAGAGCTCCTCTGAAAACAGCGTCAACTTCAAACATTAAAAACTTGAGCCACAACCACAATAAAACAGCAGAGTTAGACATGAACCACGTATTTTTACAGTACAAAAAAGCATACCATCGACAACCAATGTTGAGATCAGCACTTTGCTCATGTGAAGGATTGTCCCAAGGGTTTGCTGCACAGGCCATACCCTTGTAATTTTCTCTCTTTAGAGTCAAAAATCTTAGTTCTGCATTAAAACAAAATGAAAACAAAAACAAAAACATTTACCATTGTGGGGTGCTTTGCTTCCACTGCAGACTAACTCCTGCGTTATCAACACAGGGCTAGCTGCGGTCAGGATGCTCTAAAGAGGAAAACCACCACGAACCATGTTCTAGGTCAGAACTGTGCATGTTTCCACGCAACTCCCTCAATAGAGAAAAAAGAAAAAAAAAACTGCAAGCAAAGTCATTACTGAAATTCCTTCATCAAAGTTTTAAAAAAGCAATTCTTAACCATTAAGAATAACAATGCTCCATGCAACAGTGACCCCAGTTTAGACAGAAGACCCCATATACATAGGTCAAACATGTAAGCAAATTTAAGCCAGATTTCACCATTGTCTTAAAGGTAAATTTTATGCAACTAGCCATCTGTTATATTTTCCCATCTCCATTTTGACTTCACTAAAGTTCTGTGTTCTTCTATAAAACCCTCTTTTTAAAGTATGGGCTTCTCATGGGTCTCACATTCGGTGACTGGTTAGCAGTGTGCTGGCCATCTTTGGTTTTTAAAGGATATCTTAACCATGAACTATCAAAGGGGCTAAAATCAACTTTCTTTAAATTTCCTGTGTTTTTCTTTTATTCAATCTTTTATCTATACTATATCACTGCACATGAATTAGAACCGCACATCACAAAATTGCACAGGGATTACAAATATTACATCCAGTCTGCATAAAATCGAATTCCACTACTGACCAGATCACAAAATGGCTGCACTCTCTAATCTAAAACTAATTTGCATATTGTACACATGTAGGACAACATTTTTAACTTGAAGTCACAATAATGCATGCAAGTTTGCTTTTTTGTAAAGAAACAAATTTTATAATTTGTCCATGCTACCTAGATTCAAGAGAGCTTTTTGAACATTTGCAATACCTCACCTCATTAGTTAATGTCCTAGTGCATGCATATGGTGGACACAGGTTAAGTAAACATGCATTGTTTCACATTCTAAACTATGGCAGTTTCGGCCATATTGTGCTGCCTGCATTTCATCCGCAATGCAGTGTGTCTCTAACGTTTTCAATCCCGTATTAATAGGTGACATTTACACATAACACCTATATAGCAGCAAAGCTAATACAGCTTGTGATTAAAAATGTTTAAAAATAGCTAATAAATCAGATTATCTTGAGGTATTATTTCTTGCAAGTCAAAATGGAGAGCAACAAAATCAACCCTAATTTTTAGTTTATGTACACACTGAAAACAGCAACAATAAAAATAAGCATTTGTAGCAGACATATTCCATCTTCACTATTATTTTGCTACCTTTGGTAAAGTACTGGGGCAGATCTTGAAGTTAAAAACCCATGTTAAGAAATAAGTGCACGCTTCACCCACTATATAGCAGCAGACTGTGTTGCCCCTACGCAAAACATTCTCATATCTAATTTTAACTTTACATATAAAAATAACTTGGAGAAAATACAAAAAAACATTTTATTTTAACATGAAAATATCACAAAAATTAGTAAGCCTGAGATGTAGGGTTTTGGTGAAAAACAAGAGGCTTGTAGTGTTTTGGCTGCTGATAACGATGCATGTATTGAGAGCTGGGTGAGAAGCAGAAGAATGCACTTATTTCTTCTGCAGGTCAGTATCTTCAGCACAGTAAGCCACATGCACCCTTTCTTTCCTTGTTAGACGGAGGCCAGTTTGCTGTACTTAATTCCAGCGAAAGTGGATCTGACGCGGACGATCAGCACCTTCCTTCACCAATGGCTTATGGAACTCACGTCCTGCACGGGAGTGGATATTTGCCCAACAAAACTCACAGTAATACTGCAGGCAAGTGACATTGGCACAAAAAAAGGGGGCAAATTTTCCACCACAGCGTGCGCCCTGGCATTCATCACACATCTGGTCATCCAGCACATATGGCTTTACCTCCACCTAGAAATAGAGAAGACCTCATTGGAGTCTGCTTGAGAAATCAAAATTTGGAATGATTTTAAATGTTTATAGTGTTCTAGAGAAAAGGAGGAGAAAGGAGCGGTGTCTTAGGGAAACCATTCCCCTCCAGAGGAGGGCAAACGAAAGCCAGTTTGCTTCTGTGCTGACTACATTTGTGTATCATGTTTCATGTTCATAACGGGCTGCGAGCTGAAGTGGTTCAACACTAGTTCACTTATTTCAACATATTTCATTCAGAGGTCACTAAGTGCTATTTTACTCTATTTTCCAAAGAGAGGGGGGAAAACTTTAACAAACTAAAGATTTAAGACATTCTCCTCTCACTTTTGTAACACCTGTATGCTAGCATCAATACCTTCAAATTGTAAGCAAAACTCATAAGGGGTTATCACAGAAGACAGATTTCTTCTCAGATTTCTCTCTCATTCTATTATCATCTGTAAGCTGGAGAAACTCAACAGCCACTAAGATGCAGCAGCTTTCTCTACTGCAGGTCAGGGCTGCACCTTGCTTGCAGTAACTGCTGCACACAAGCCAGAACTGGGGCTAATCTGATCCAGGGCATGTGCAGACGTCTTTATAAACTCTTAAGAAATAACGCCCCCCTGGGAAGGACTGATTCAGCCAATGATGTCAGGTTTGAGTTGGCCCTAAGCAGCAGACCCTCTTGACCTGTTTCCGCATCTATGTGAGAACGATGGACTGTTGGAGTGTGAGACCTGGGGAACCCTCACACTACACTGTGGATCAGTGTCAGCTGCTTTCAGCTACTGCAGCCTTGCTTCCCTGTAACTTATGAACATCCCAGGCTGCTGTCTCTGGCTGACTGGATGGGGTCATTGTTTTAGAATAGTTAGTTGTGTGTGAAACTGGTATGTAAATGAGTAGCTCGGTCTCCTATTTTAGACAGCAATGAGAGCTCATAAGTATTCAACAGGATAACTTCAAGCTGTCATTCACCAGACTTCTATATATAGACCCAATCTATGCTACTAATGAACTAATGTTTCCAATTTTAGGTTAAATGACTTACAGAAATAGTGTCTGAATTTTAGTTTTTATAAATGAAAACTCGCTCTTAATTAGCACTTCCTGGGGACCAACTTCTTTTCCAAGTGCCTGTGCACATGTGAAGTTCATTCAGTCCCCAACACACCAGGAAGACTAACTAGAACTCCTTCCCACGTTGGAAGTCAGGAAAAGCGGCACAGAGAGGGCTGTCTGCCCGAGATTACAGAACCAATGGCAGACACCGGGCATGGTCCCAAGCACTCTGTCTTGGGCACGAGCTTGTATAAACTGCCTCCACAGCAAGACAGATAGCTCAGACTTAGTGGCTGATAAAATTTTTTGACATGGCTTTAAAATCACATCTATACTTATGGCTCTTATGTCTCAAGTTTAAAGTACAACAAGAAATTTGTATTTCAAGGATATAACGCTAGGAGACAAAGGACGATAAAAGTGTTTGAGTCATATTATTAACTCCTTATGGTAAAAAGCACCTACAAGGACTAAGTAAGACACAGATGACCCCCCAATAGTGTAACTTACACGCTTATCAATATCACCATGCTGAAGCTGAACAAATCGAGCACTGATGGCAGCGATGTAGCTCTGCTGATTGGAGAAAGCAACTCGCCCAGCACCTTTTGGGTATTTTAGTTCTGGATCCGTATCAATTCCAGCGTAACACACGCCACCATACAGCCGGTCCATGATCATAGCAAGTTCCACTTCAAAAGAAAAGACACTCACATTGAAGGTGAGAAGACAGTAAATCAACAATTACCAGTCAGGAGAACACTAACACAAAGCAGCTGTTAAGAAAGCCTGGGAGCCAGAGCTTTGCACAGGCTGGCAGGCATGCTACCACTGAGTTCCAGTCTCAACCCCACAAACAAAACAAAACAAAAACCCCAAACCACTGGCTTTCTGTGAAGTCATTACCACCATAGCACTGGCTAATGACCTGGGACAGAAACAGTTTCGTGTTCTTTTGTTAAAATTCAACTCTTTCACATGTACAGCCATCTCGTTCATTTTCTTTATGGCAGGACAATCCCTCCTCTCTCCCAGAGTTCAGCTTTCCTCTCATACTCATTTCAACAAGCATGGGTCTTTTTTTTTTCCTTAAGGACAGTCCTTGTCTACAAGAAAATCTTTTTTTTTTTTTTGACAGAGTATGCAGGTTGGAAGGGAAACACGGTGGTGTGAGGGAGGCCAGACCAGCTCAATCACCCTGGTGACCAATGGGTAACAGATTTCATAGCCAGATTGGCCCCATATCTGTCTGAACAACCCTTAATGATCAGATTATCACCCTGTGACTGCACTCTAACTGATCTTTTCAAAATCAACTTTCCCATCTTGTAAGTCCACTGTCCCATCTTCCTGCTGGCAGCACTGATAATTAGCATAGATAATCTACTATTTTGTCCAGATATATTTTTCCATATGACTTGCATGGTATTTTATTCTGCTGATAATTCACTTCACTGATGACTTCTTAGTCTCACTTTTCGATGTCAGAACACCTTACATTTCAGTCTTTGTTCCTTTGCCTACACTTGGGTTTTGGTGATCCCAGTCTATATCATGTATTTAAATACCATCTGTGTACTTAAGCTCCTGAATTTGTGTCTGAATTCCTCATAAAGCAACTATTACTAGACTATTTCTTGTGATACTGCAACACACAGCATGCTAAAAAAGGCCATACATGAACACGTTCTTCCGCTATTTAATGAAACATAATCTGATGAGTTTTTGTTGACTCAATTGTACAAATAGAATTTCTGCCTCCATCCTTCACTTTCACTATACAGATAATCTCATAGACTTGCTTTTCAGAACATAGTGAGAACCCAATCCGTCCACTTCCATCAGGCAGGTCTGCTTTAAAAGCTAGTATCATTTTTCATTTGGTTAATGGAAACAAGCTTATCTGCTTGTCTTCAATCCTTCCTCTCCCATTTATTTCCAAAACATTAGAAATAATTATTTTTTTAAACACTACTAGATGCCACATGGTTTAATTGAAATTTCTACTTGAGACTTCATAACCCAAACCACAGCCTCCTTTAACCTGCCCTTCCTTTGCTGTTTCTCACACTATTTACAAGCCATCACCAACCACCCAGCAGCTTAAAGCTGAAACTGGAATTCAACTTTCTATTTTCTACCTGAGTATTCAATTATCTGTTCACCTGGTTCTTTCTCCATTACCACCACCAGTCCCATACAAGAGGCCTATACCTGGCCTACCGTTATTTACTCACAGCTTCTTCTCCTTCATGAATCATCAGCTTATCTGATCTTTCAAAAAAAAAATCTACGTGATTATGTCTCTCTTTTGCTTAAAAACTCTCTTGTTCTGAGGATCAACATCAATTAGTCTATTAGACTTGCATGATCTAACTTCTGTTGATTTTTTTCCAGCATCTTTTTGTATCTCTCCCATCACTCTATGCAATCCTAGGTTACCCACTCTATGCTTTATACAGTCCCTCCATAAATATACCCTGCTGCTCTGCACTCAAGACTTCCAAAGATGCTGTTCGCTTTGTCTGAAACACACTCCTCACAATGCTCCTGTTGTTCAAACTCTCTTCAGTTTTTATCAGCTTAAATATTTTTAAGATATCACACCATAGCATATTCTAAATATGAACATACATACATTCACACATATATGGATGTATGTCTATAAACACACACACACACACACACACACACACACACACACACATTTCTCTACCCAATCTTCTCTCTTTGCAGCAGTTATCACATACTTTGAGCGCTTACATGTGTGAAGTTAATTCCTATCTCCCCGACTTGAGGAGGCTGCTTTCAGCGACAGCAGTCACCAGCACCTTCAGATGGTGTGACACTGCATAGCATGCATATGCAGTAAACACCCACATTTGTAACTACAGCCTACTTGACAGCCTTCAGGCTTTTGGTTACTAGTTACTGAGAAATAGAACTTTGGAACTCACTCCTTTAGAATACTAATTTCAGTTAGTAACTCAAATGTGGAAAAATGCCTACTTTCTTAGACATCAAAATCAACAAGAAGAGAATACAAATTTTTCTGACTTAGGGATTCTACTTACCAGCCCTTAATGGCCTAGGAACACCGCCAACAAAAATTGTTTTTCGGGGATCCAAAGGCTGAGACCCATCCATGACGAAATCACTATCACTTAAATTCCAAGGACGGATTTGAACCTATAGAGAAAATTACATTTGGGCTTATTCCTTTTAGTGTTTAAAATTTTTAATGCAGTCTTAATTTTTTAAAACAGTGATTTAAAAATACTGTTTTGCAAACCTGCCTTTATAGGTCACATTTCACATGGTGTTTACTTACAGGTTTGTCCTTGATAGTAGGGCTGGAAACACACAGGTAGAGCTTTCCATCTTCTTCAATGCAAGCATCAATGAGTGCCTGAACTGAGCTCTCTTCTTGAAAGAGGAGGAATGCATAGCCTACAAAAATCATACAAACAATGCAGCATGTCAAGTTAAGCAGCCTGACCTCAATGTAAGTACTATTTAAAGAGACATAAAGCCCACCAAATAGGTGTGAATCATTCTGTTTCCACAGGAGAGCACAATATCATATCTCACACACACACACACACACACACACACACACACACACACACACACACACACACACCCCTCTGTGTATGTGTGTGAGTGAGTGAGTGAGTGAGTGAGTGAGTGAGGTCAGTCTCAGGAAAGCTGCACCTTCAGGTTGACTATACAAATCTATGAAACATTCCCATTTACAGAAGGAAAGACTGAGGTTAAGTGACTTGTTCACAGCAAGTGGTTGAGCAGTTCACCCTCAGGTGAGCTTCAAGGTATTGTAATGCTATCTACCAGTGACACTTTTCTTCATACCAGAGGCCAAGGTCTGCTCCTAGAGGGATACTCTGGTTTCCTAGAACCTTTCAAACAATACCAGGCAAGTTGCCTTATAGAAGTTAGAACGAAACATGTTCTTCTTTAAGAATGGCTTAGAATTTTTCAACCACATCTTAACATGGATGAGCAGGGAATCACCTCTTTCAAGCTGTTTAGAGACTGTTTAGACTGGAAACTTGCCCTTGTCATTGTCAGACTTTGCAAACTGTGTCCTCCTCCCACTCTTCTGTGTGAACACCAAATGCCAACATCCATCAAGAAGCATGTATGTAGTAGGCGGGGTCCACACTTATGTGCTGAGCTTTCTATATGTGGTCATTTCCAGTGACTGACAACAGCCCTGACAAGGTCCTATGGCAGTCTGTAAGTATCACAGTCCAGTCCAGTGAAACAAGTGCCTCTCCCCTCAAGTTCATGATCAAGCTGACTGTGAAGTCAAGCTACACTCAGAACTCAAAGAGCACAGTGCCCTGATGTAGTAAAAAGTGCATCATTTGATGTCTTTGTATAAAAAATACCTGAAGTTGTTACACAAATCTGCACTAAATAAAAAATTCCATAGATAAGACTATGCAAGATTAAAAATATACTGAAATCTTTTATAGTTGCTAGGAAAATTATATTCTTGACAACATGAAGAGTAGTTTTCTTTAAGGAGTTAATTTTGATATAAACTAAATTTCAAAGAACTATAATTAAACTACAATAACCTAACTCTAGACCAAGATACTAAAATACCACTTTAAAATGAGTATTTTAGCTGGGCGGTGGTGGTGGTGGTGGTGGTGGTGGTGGTGTACGCCTTTAATCCCAGCACTCGGGATGCAGAGCCGGGGAGATCTCTGTGAGTTCAAGGCCAGCCTGGTCTACAGAGCAAGATCCAGGACAGGCACCAAAACTACACAGAGGAACCCTGTCTTGAAACCCGTCCCCCTCCCCCCGCAAAAGACTATTTTAAATTTGTGATATTTAATATTAATATTTTATTATAATATAATTTAAAAATACCTTAACCTTCATATTTTAAATTTTTAATAGTTTGTTACTATTAGGCAAGAGACACCTATTACCAAAATTAAAGATTATAATTAAATTATGTCCATAATCTAGAGAATGCAAATTATTAGAGACTGTAACATTTGTACAAACACACTGTATATAATTTTTGTTAGAATTCAATAAAGTAAGCTAATGATCATCACATAAGGTAAATGTTGCTTGCCAAAGAGCTAGGTTCAGGGTCTGAGATCTCAAGCCTCTGATCCAGTCCCAAGGTAGATTTGCCAAACAGATATCACCTTATCTATGTTTCCCAACCATGGGAAATGCTCAGAGGTGGATAACCCTTGAAAGTACCGAGTTTGGACAACACTGGTCAAGGGCTACAACTAAGGATAATTTCACCAAAAATTATGATTTACCAGTGTTATCTTTGTTCAGTTTCAAAAAATAAACACTTCAAAAGTTACAGTAACAACGATGGCAACAATAGCATTGAGGACAACTCCTGTTTCATTGCATACTCTTCAACTGTCTTCCTAGGTCACTGTGCCTTCTTTTTACACAGGCACATGGAGCATGTGAAAACCTGTACCTGTCTCCACCAAAACTCATTCTGAATTCTTTCTAATTTATATCTGTTGCTTGGTACCCATGGAGAACTGGGTCCATGACTCCCCTCAGACAGCAAAGGATGCTCTAGTCCTTACATAATAGCATATAACCCATATACATTGTGTATACTTAGCTTATGTCATCTATTACTTATAATACCAGACATAATGTAATGGTAGACACACAATTATTGCACTGTTCTTCTTGGGGAACCAGGTAAGAAAAACAACCAGTGAAGCAAAAAAAAAAAAAAAAAAAGCTGCCCTGGCAACTTTTTGGCTTGTGTTTTACTAAAATTTGTGTGTTTTACTGAATTTGTCTATGAAAGGAACCTGAAGACATAGTTCAATTCCTGCCTGGAATTCTGTTCAAAACCTTTACCTACCTAGAGTACACAGTAACCTTTGCATTTAATCCCAAACTCGGTAAAGCTTTTCTGAAAGTTAAAGTAATTTTTCTATATTGTAGGATTAACTGGTGTTTATAACATTTGCTGGGTAATTGCCAATCTACGAATTATTGATACAAAATACATGTATTTCCGTAGTTGATTATGTTTGTAGAGACTATAGAAATAAACTAAAAGATATATTTTGAACACCCTGTTGCAACTGTGAGTGCTATGGAAAAGACACACACAGTGTAGGGAGCTGGGATGGCCTATAAAGAAGAGAAGTTGACTTCATCAGGTAGATTCCCAAAGTTTTCTGTGAGCAATTAACTCTTAAACTGAGATTAACACACATGCACGCACACACACATCCTGCAGCAGCAGCACTGTGGACTTGAAGGAGGATGAGAAATAACAGAAGCAGGAGGGAGATGTGAGATCAGGTGGGACAGAGGCAGGTTTGCCTTTACCCCGGCAGGGAAGTGTCTAGGAACCGGCTGTGCTTTCAGAGACTGCTGTGGCAGTGGTCAGACCTCAGGAACAACAGACAGAACACTGCGCTGCAGGAGAGTGGCTGGAGCAATCCAGGTCGGGGATGACGGGAGCTTACAGGTGCCTTATCCGGACTTGCTAATCCTCTCAGCCGGGAGAGTATTTTTCTAGACCTGTTTTAATACTAAACTAAAAGTTTTTCAATGTATTCTTTACTCACTATAGACAATTTGTCATTTGTAATTCTGAATGAGGAGTAACATCAGTCCTTCTTTGCCCTTTCCTCCCATTGTGGGGAACATAACCTCCTTTTCCCAGGAAATGTATCGTTGATCACATGACTTGTACAGGAACACAAGCCTTGCAGGGACTTATCCTAAAAGTAACTAATCCAAGCAACCAAATTTCCTCCTCGCATTTCCCTTTATTTTTTTGTTTGTTTGTTTTTTGTTTTCGAGACAGGTTTCTCTGTGTAGCCTTGGCTGTCCTGGATCTTGCTCTGTAGACCACGCTGGCCTTGAACTCAGAGATCTGGCTGGCTCTGCCTCCCAGTGCTGGGACTAAAGGCGTGCGCCAGCACCGCCCACCTGGCTTATTTCAGTTAGTTGACTAAAGCAGCAGGTTTCCTTGGAGCAAGCATCCACATGTGGCCGTTGCTGACCTCTCCTCCAAGCCCTGACCGCTTGTCTGTCTGCTCTGGGCCCACTTAGCCCTCCCTCAGCTTCACCTCACTGTGCTCCACTCTCTCTCCTCTGCTCCCCAGTGTCTCCTTCCCTTTCTATGGCTCACGGCCCCTTTCTGTTCCCTGACCGCTGAATACACTCATTTCCACATAAATACAGAGATGCTAAAAATTAGAAATTAAGATCTACATATGAAAGAAACAGATGGCATTTCTTTTTCTTGCTCTGAGTAACCTCACTTAATATATTTTCTACTTTCATACATTTTCCTGAAATTTTGACAATTTCAGTTTTCTTTATGGTTGAATTAAAGTCTACCATGTACTTGAATGCGACGTTCATTATCTGTTCATCAGGTGAGATGTAGCCAGACTGATTCCACTTCCCACCTTTTAGAAACAGAACAGCAGTAAACAGGAATGTGGGACCTGTCTGTGAGGTATATAGAGCCCTCTGGGTACATGCCAGGCCGTGCTACAACCGGATCAAATGATAACTCTATTTTTTATATTTTGAGAATTGTCTGCACTGATTTACTTGGTGGCTGCAGTGGATTTCTGTCACCAACAGTGAGTGAATAAGGGCTCTTCTTTTTCATATCCCCACAAGCATTTGCTTGTTTTCTAGATGACAGTCATTTTTTTACTAGGGTGAGATGGAATCTCAGAATCTCAAGTAGTTTTAATTTTATTTCACTTCTTGAGTCCATTTCTGGTTGGGTCATGTGCTGTCTTTGGGTCATGGTCTGTTACTCTGCATTCTCTCTATAGACTAGGTATTACCCCATGCTGCGGGTATAGTTGTGAAGATTTTGCCCCCATTCTGCAGCTGTGGGCTGTCTCTTCACTCCATTGTTTCCTTCACTGTGGTTTGTCATTTCATTAGGATAGGGGCCTAATTCCTGAGCAACTGGAGTCCCCCTGGGAAAGTCCTCATCAATACTCGAGCTTCATGGTTTTTTTGTAGCAAGATTCTTAAAAGTTCTTATTAATAAAATCAAACCCAGAGCCAGGTATTGGGGTGAACACTGGAAGGTGAGAGAGACAGAACAAGCCACAGCTAACCTCACCTGGCCAACTTCTCAGCTGATCTTGTTTCCTCAGACTGGAAGCCTCTGTGTCCTCATATCTGAATGGCTCTCAGGTGAACTGTGCTGCTCAAAACCTCAAAGCTTAACCAGCCAAATGTTTAACCAGCCAAATGTTTAACCAGCCAAATGCTTCTAGTTTCTGGTCCTCACGCCTTATGTACCTTTCTGCTTTCTACCATCACTCCCTAGGATTAAAGGCTGGCTTCCTGGGATTAAAGGCGTGAGTCACCATGCCTGGCTGTTTCCAATGTGACCTTGAACTCACAGAGATCCCAGATGGATTTCTGCCTCTGGAATGCTAGGATTAAAGGCATGTGCTATCACTGCCTAACTAGTGGCTTTTCTGTTCTCTTTTCTGTTCTCCCAGATAAGTTTATTAAGGTACACAATATTTTGGTGAACACAATACCACCACATTTTTTCTACTTCTTCCTCTGGCAGTTTACTTTTTATAAAGTTGAAAGTTTAAAAACAGTACTTGACAATGAGTTAAAAATACTTGAAAAGTTACTTCCCCAATGCTATGACATACTATTACCTGAATACTTGAGTATACCTTGTAATATTTGAATTACTTAACCGGTTTTATTTTATGAATCTATTTATTTTTTTTGAGACAGGGTTTCTCTGTAGTTTTGGTGCCTGTCCTGGATCTCGCTCTGTAGACCAGGCTGGCCTTGAACTCACAGAGATATGCCTGGCTCTGCCTCCCGAGTGCTGGGATTAAAGGCATGTGCTACCATGCCTGGCCCTGGTTTTATTTTTATAAAATGTAAATGAATCACTTCATATGCATCTTGACCTCATAGAACAGAAAATAACTTTGAATCCATGCTATTTTTGAATAATGCTTTAGGTAGAGAAATATTCAAACATATATTCGTTTAAATTTATAAAATTATTAGAAAATTATGAGGAAAGTGTATCAAATCTTATGACTCCTAAAGCTTCAAGTAAAAGTGGAGTGGTTCTTAAAATCACTCTATCTCACTCAACCCAGGCTAATGGTCTCTACAAAGGCTAACTTTTAAAAGGTTTTTTATTTATTTATTTATTATTTGTGTGTATGTGGATGTCAGGGAACAACTTTCTCCCTTCATATGGGATCTAGGGTAGAACTCAGGGCTGTGTGGCTAGAGCCTTTCCTGGACAACCCATCTATCTCCTCAGTCCATAAATCATTAGTATTAAACTAAAGGTTCTCATGGTCAATTCTAAGAGAAAGCCCAAATAAATAATTGATATTATTCCTTTTTCTCTCATACAACCTTGCAAATATTAGTAAAAAGCCTCTTACCTTTTGGTGGAAAATAGGATTTGCTTTCTGCTTTATGGGGCCAATCTACTACCAAAGGTCCAAATCTTCTGAAGCTGGCAGTAATCTCATCTTAGGAAAGTACAGAATGTGCATCACAAATTAGTTCTAATGATTCATTCCAAGAAACCCTGTACTTCTAAGTATTTGGAAGATTTAATGTCTAAAGTGTCAAATACCTTAAGATTAACTCTAATGTAAAATGAAAATATGTCTTTATAAAAACACAATATAAAATTTAACTATTTTAGTCAAATAAATTCATTTTAAAGCAGCACCCTAGTTAGACTAATGTATTCAATGTGAATTCTAGTATTCTGTAGGTCACCTGAATACTAATGGCTTTGTAGTATACCCAATCACAACTAGCACTGGGCTGAAACATGTCATTTTCATCAAGTAAACTAAAACAGCTATTGATCATGTTAGGATAAGGTCTGCTGAAACAAGACTAGCTATAATGTCGGTAAAACATACCAATGCTAATAAAAGCCAAGTAATTTCATTGACACTCAAATATTATAAGTTCAATTTCAATGATATACTCTATGTTAAGTTGATGGATATGCAGAATACATTTGTAGATATATGAACCATAATTGAAAAAATTATCCAAATGTAGCAAAATATTCTCTGTAGGCTATTAATGAATGGGTAGATTTCCCATGGCATTATAAACATAGTTTAAATATTTTTTAATCTTTACCTTAAGTTACTTTTCTATATTATTACTTGCAAACATTTGCATAGTTCTAATTTCTTATTTTATTTTCAATTTCTATTTCTTTATTGGATTTTTTACTGTGTTTCTGTATCTTTAAGTAAATTGATAAATTTAAAGAAATTTAATCTTTGGTTTTTGCACACTGTAGATGAGAGTCATAGCTGGTTCCATTTATTGCACTGTGTATGTGTGCATGGGAGTGTCATGTGTACGTGCTACAGTCACACAAATATTGTCATGTGTGTTCTGCATTAAACACTAGGATATGAGCTACAATATGGAGACCTTTATAAAAATGTTCAGTGATGATTTGCATATGATAAAAAACCCTCTAAAACTTAAAAGTACTTGTTCAAATACTTGTTGAAATACTTCCATATTTCAACAGCTCAAAAACTATTTTTTATTGGGTTTTGTTTTTAAGGCAGGATGAACTTACCTTCATCAATATCTGGAGGAAGCCCACCAACAAAAACTTTTCGAGAAAAGCGTTCTATTCGCTCTCCATTTTGATGGGCTGAGTAACATGTGGGTGAGTTTAGAACACCAACTTGATCACTGTGACCATCGTCCAACAAGCTATCGTCTATTGGAAACAGGGAGGATCGGCCTAAAATATAAGGACAAATACAAACTTAATCTCATATCGAAAATGGTCAAACAAAGGCAAGCATACAAATGTCAAATTGAAAGGGTTAGACACTAAGGGGACACTGTCATAAAAATGAATGGAAATGCAGACAGTACAATGCCAGGGTTCAAGAGAGAAGTGACCGCAAGTATGACTTAGAAATAAACAAACACTGGGCTGAGAAGTGGGTCAGGAACAGATGCTTGTCTAGCATAGATGAGACTCTAAGTCCAATCCCCAGCAACAAAAGGAAAAGAAATAGTCACATGACAACACTACAAGCACAAAAGAAACAATAAATCTACTAGCTCATTCCAAATGTTTATAGATAGCAGCAAGAGCCTGATGTATAGGAAACAGGCCTGAATGTGTAACTGTGTGGTGGTAAAATGGAAACAGCATAAGTTAAATAGGTAAGAGGACATCATGAAAGAAACGTAACAGAAAAACTCCAAGAAACTAATTAAGATGCTATAGTAAGCAGCAAGCCATACTTGTCTGTAAGGTCTTGGAAATAATTTATCCCATGTGACAATCATATGACTTTGTAGAGGGGACTTATGCACATGTGGAAGGCACAGAACAGCATCTTAGGATTCTAGTTCCTATGTGAGCCCACTCTTTAGGAAGGATCCCTTTACAGGGCATGTCTTGTTCAATCTTGTCAAGCAATGCTGATGCCCTGTATGCTCACACAAATGATCCAACAATAAATAGTACCCTTGCCCTCAAGAAATGTACACAAAGGCAAGGTAAGAGCTATACATGTAAGGATGGTATATATCTCTAAGAAAGCCTCAAAATGCTTCAAAGTAGACTAGAGGAAAGCTGTAGTGTACTAAAGACCATGGTAAGTTCTTGAATCTCCAAGGGTGCTAGGCAACACCTGACTGAAACATGCCAGACAGAATAGAAAAACGCCCTCTGAGGTTAGCAGAATTTACCCTTCTAAGAAGACATTTTATTGCGTGGGTGGGAAAAAACAAAAACAACAAACAAACCAAACATCTAGGTACAGGGGCCCCAGCAAGAATGAATGTACCATCCTGTGACTGAGGACTGAGGAAGACAAGGGAGCAGCTGAGGGGAGGGGAGGCTCCAACTACAAGAAGGGCAGGACACAAGGATGGGAAACGAAAGAGAAACAAGGGACAGGAGGGAAGCAAAGACAGTCACACGCTGACTGAATATGAAAAAGTGAGGGTCAACACCGGTCCAAGGAAAGGACCTGGGTGAAACAGCACATAAAGCTTCAAGTGCTGACTGGGTGCTCAGAAACAAACCCCAGGAGAAGGTAGAAACAGAGTGCGGAACAGAAAGGGAATGTTCTGTCAAGAAAGAAAAGGATTTGCAACCTCATTGACAAAGACGCCAGAGGGCAATGAGGAGGGCAGCTCCTTGGCAAACACAGAAGGCATGGAACTCCCACCACAGAAAGGACAACAAAGAAGGAGAACCTCAAACAGCACCATGACAGAAATGGCAAAGAAAAATCAGGAGGGAAGAGGGAAAGGAACAGTCAAACAAAATGAGATAATTTCAAAAAATGAAAACTGTGTTTGAGGGTGTCCTGACATTTGATGGTAGCAATTTTTGAGAAGCTGGGTGGCTGTCACATGTTGTGATATGTTGTATTGTACATGCTTAGTACATGCAATACAGATATCAAATAAAACCTAGTCTTCAGACATTTATTAGAGAAGGGAGAATGGAACAGTGCAGACAAGCTGTTCTTTGAAGATTAAATCAAGGATACATTTTTTTAGGACAGAGACAAGAGCACACATATACCTTAATCTAGAAATAAATACTTATATAAAATATGATTAACATGTTACCATCTTGAAATATGTGACCCACGATGATGTGATATAAATAAAGAAAATTAGGAACATGGCATCTAGTGGAGAACTGGATGGGGAAGAAGGGGCGAGCTACATACCTGTGACAATAAGCAAGCCAGTCTAAAATGGAGTCCCCAGGAAGAAAAGCCACCTCATGCTAAAGATTCTACAAAGCTGACTGAAGGAGTGTGAAGAGCTGGAATACCTTCCAGGAACCCCTGAGCTAATACCGTGCGTGTGTGCGCGTGCGTGCGTGCGTGCGTGCGTGCGTCAGACAGCATCTGAGACCTGCAGCAGGCATCTCTCATTTGGCTCTACCATACCTACTGACATTAAGGAAAACTAGTTTTTTCTGGTCAAGGAGATGGAATCTCTGGTCTGGGTGGAGACTGAACTCCACCACGCTACCGAAAACATAAACAAGTTAATCCAGCTGTGCCACCTGGCTGAGTCCACCCCTCAGAAGGGTGGGTTTACTTCAAGTCACACCACACGAAACATAACCAGCCTTTTAATGAGATAATCAACCTCTCCTTCCCAGAACCTTTCCCCTCTAGTAACCCTTATAACATGTCATTAAGTTTGGCTGGGTCTGTGCAGCAGACTCAAAGGTGTAACTATTTCACTTTTTAATTCTTTTCCCAATGCTTGCCGGACTCTAAGTATGCTTTTCTGGTACTCTGGGCTTCCTTACTCTTTCTCTAAAGCTTCTGTCCCCACGAAGTGCTTGTCCCCTCAGTGTTGCCTTAACTAAAGGTCCTGGTTATTTTCCTTCTCTCCACTCCTCTCCCTCTGGGCAGCTGCTGAGATTGTAGCATGCCTTCCCTGAGGGCTTTCTTTTAAATTGTAATGAAATTGACTTCTTTGAATAAACTTTGTTTTTGCTTGACTTTCAAAAATTTTTTTGCCTTTAAATTCTTTAATCTTAAAAACAAAAACAAAAAAAACACCTCATTCCTGTACCCCTACAAGGTACCATGGCCTCATTATTCCCACTACTTTATTTGACTTTCTTTAGTTCTGTGACTACGAAAGCCATATAAAGTCTTCCACACTGGAACATATCAGTTGAGGCAATCTGAACTAGTGTTCCTGCACTGTGGCCATTCCCATTTGGTTCCCAAATGAACTCTCTCTTCTTCCTTTTGAGGTGAAAACTGTGTTTGTTGCAGACACTCACTAGATATATGTTGGATATAAGCATATAAAAATTATAGGCCATAACAACAGGAAGAAAGAGCCTACAGGAAACAGGAACTACCCAAAGATGAGTTCAATTGAAATAAGATGTTCTGAAAGAGACCCATGGTGAGTAACAATTTAAATTTCTAAATTTCTGTTATCAGAAATAAGGGCCAGTGAGAAATAAATGTCTATATTTTCTTTGTGATCAATGGAAAAAATTCAACATGAAATTATAGGTCAAAAATTCTTTCTCTGAAACACTTGGGACAGGAATGTTTCTTACTTTGCTATTTCTTAGAATTTGAATTTTCAGATTAAAGGTACTCAATTTGCCTGTTCCCTCCTTCCCTCTCTTCATCCTTCCTTTCCTTCCTTCTTTTTTCCCCTCAATAAAATGACCACCAACAATATCCACTAAAATTAATAATAAATTGTGAATTAATTGCTCAACTCATCTTACTTTAATTGAATAATTATACATTTTAAGAAGAGTAATATGAGTAGGGAAACAACTGCCTAGATTTTAGGGAAATTAAAATGACTAATCCAAATGCTGGACTGAATTTAGACATGCTAATATTTTGTAAACAGTATCATTTTGAAGTATTTTTATGCAAAATTAGCAGGTCATAAATACAATAAACAAAACTCTAAAAGACTTTCTATCTCGGGGAAAAAAACACATATCACAAATATTTAGAATCTAAACAGGAATAAGAGATGACCTAAAGAGACTTAAGATTTTTCTGAACTGTAATGTGGTACATATACTTAAATGATAAATGCACTGCAACAATACTAATGGTCAATCGGTAACTGCGTACTGTGCTTACTGTAACTATGTACATATTGTATAATCCATTAACTAAAGTTCAGCTGAACAAAGGATGCAACACAATGGCTAAAAATATTTCACATATTAGCATACGCATAAGAATCTTCATTTCTAGAAAACAATGATTGCTTTCTTTCAAAAGGTCATAAAAACAATGAATTGTAAAACTCACTTGAAAGAGTAACAGAACATATAGATCACTGATTTAAAAATATAAGTAAATGAAAAGATAATCCAAGTTTATCTTATTAGGAAAATGCAAGCTGGATGCACAATGGTGCTGGTATTAATGTTGAGGGCTGTTTTCCCCCAGCCCCATCTCATCCACCTGTGTGGACAGCATGTGTGTGTAGCACATATGCACACATGTCAGGGAAACTGATGCTGATGCTTTGATTTTGTTGTACTTGATTTTTCAGATTTTGAATTTATTCTAGAATGTAAGAATAGACATTTCTCAACATATCAATGAGGGGATTTGGAAGAGAAAAATGTTTGTATACATCAATCGATTTATAGATTGATTCTAAACATGATTTGATTTATATATATTGTCTCCATGATTTTATTTATAGAATGTTGTGAAATTTTAAAAAGCACAGAAATTTAAAATTAATGGGAATCTGAATATTCTTTCTATCTTCTAGAATGGAAGCAGTAAATACCCTCCATTGTGATGTAAATTTTTTCAAAAAATTATCAAGACAGTAGAGGAAGGTTTAAGATTGGTTTACCTTAAATACATCAATTGAACAATCAGTCACTTACCTGGTATGTTTCTCCAAAGAAGGAAAAAACATTAAGTACAATGGTTATTTGAAGATATTTTGCCGCAGTAATAGTTTGCCTCTTTTCTGACAGGAGATGAAAAGCCGAAGAAATCAACTCTAAGCTAGCAGTTTACATCTTTAAAAACTTGATCACTAGGTGTACTTGCCTTAAAATGAAGTTGAATGGAACTTTGTTTTCTTTAAAGATTGTTGTGGCAGAGTACAGCTTGTAGAATAGACTCTTTGGGGCTGTAATTAAGTTTTACAAGCAGTACACTCTGCTACAACTACTCAGCTCTGCTATCATGTAGCTCCAGGGTGACCAAAGTAGAAAACTAACAAACA